TGATCTCTGTCTAAGTGCTTTCCTTTGTCCTTTTAACTCACATTCTTTCGTTTCAACATGTCCAACAGCGATCATCAAGGAAAGAAGATGCAGATATAAGTAAGTTCGTTCTACGTAGTTGGCGTCACTCACCACGACGCATCGAATATCACATGAAAGCAACATTATCCGCCGCGGTTGCTTTCTCCTCCTCTTCTTCCTCCTCCTCCCCGTCCAAGTAAAATATTTGTAAAAGAATAACGTAACTCCCACATAAACAGAATCACAACAAAAACAAAAACCAATTATTCCCTGGAAGTTCGCCTCTTTCTCCAACTACAATTCTGAGATATGGGACAGATAGGCTTTTTTCTTCCATAAAAAATTACTCCTTTGCCCTTGCTGCTCTACAAACGGGGAAAATTTTGATTTCTTATTACCTGATACCCACCAAAAGTCTGGTGGATGTTGTTGCTACATAGATCAAGATGGTTATTCGTTTCATGCTTTGTTTGGTAATTCTCTATTTCCGGAAGGTAATCATACATGGACCGTGATTATTATGAGTTATATACGAAATTTATATAACTTATATATTAAGAAAGAGGGATATACTCAGGGATAGATATCATCACTAGCCGGGTTCCAGGAATTAATATTCCCGTCAGTCTCCTTGGTAAAAATAATTAGACTGATCCCCTTGACTATAAAGCAAGGAATGTCTTGACAATGTGAATATTAATTAATTGTAGTTCCTACATTCGCGTTCTCTGTCTTTTATAGTGTATTCATTTCGTGATCAAGATGAATCTGCGCTGGATGTGGTCTGATCATTTACAAGAATGAGAAGAAAGGATTTTTGTCCCTTTTATGCATTACTGAATCTATAAAGGGATGAGCCAAGACGACGACGACGATGATGATGACGATGAAGAAATGAAGGATCGGCTGCTACTGTTGCCGTTTTATTTCATGGTTGGAAATGACTTTTCTGACGTTTGATCAGCCAAATCCAAGAATATTCTTTCTTCTTCCATACTTTTGTCAGTTTAGTCTGAACTCGTGGTTTTGAAAGCTGCTGGGAATCATTTAGAACAGGAAACAGAGAAACAGCGCATCCCTCTTTTTGTCTTCTTGAATACTGAATCCACCGGAAATTGGAAGAATGATAGATTGAAATTTGGAAAGAAAATACAATGTCCTTTTTTATTCCAGGCTCCGCAATGCAGCAAATCTGGATTACGTAGAGAAACTAAATTCCCATCATCATCAGGGTTTTTTCTCTCTACGTATAATCATGGGAGATACTCGAATTATAAAAATTGATAAGCTGACAGAGATTTGCAATCAATTTCTCGTCAGACGTGGTTAAATCGGATGTACAATCAGGGGATAAATTATGTAAGAAGCACATTTCAGTGAAAGATTCCCCAGCATTCTTAAATCTCTATTGTCCAAGGATGTCGCTTTTTTAAACAACATGCTAACAAACTGCCAGATAATTTTTGACTTTAACGCATTTTGTTCCCAGTTTCACTTTGCAGTTGGACATGTTTACAAAAATCTAGTTTAACGCAGCAGCAGCAGCATTATTTCTTTTTCATTTTGCATCTGGACTGGAATACTTTTTTGTGTGCATCGCCAAACAGACCGACAGAGATTCATCCCAAAAAAATCGTAAACTGATGTACCACCAGCACCACCACATTCAAATGGCATCGTCAGAAGAAGTGTTTGGTTTCTTGGGCTCCCATCTCTTCCTCATTCTTGGCGTCTCTCAGCTATATTTTCCCCATTTTTAATCTTAAGGTACACGAGCCATGTATTTAGCAGTGTACAATGTGAATCTGAAATAACATGTATGTAACCAAACACTAAAAGCGAGGTTAACGTTGCGTCCATGTCGTGTACACTTAAATATGCAAAAACCGTAGTCAGTCATATTTTTTGCTTGGTTTTTCATATTTTCTGAATGAAACCCCCAGTGATTATACTTACAACACTACGCATACTAATTTTTTTTCGAACCCGCGATATGAAAAATTACAGTTTTAGCGATGTTAAACAGCATGAGCATGAGCCCGGATCCTGTAAAATTATTTTGAGGAGCAACAAAATCAAAATCTCGTTCAATATATTACAACGACACATCAGGGTAGCAGCATCCGGTTAGGGCAGAATAGGAAGAACCTCATTTCTCAGCAGTAAACGATCTACTTTTACTGCAATTTAGAGAATCTTTCTGCCATCGCACATAAGGCAGTTCGTAAAGCAAACACGCTGCATACGCGTTTCTTGTGTGCACAAAATTCGATTTTTTACTTCCGACATCACACATATTTGAACGTAAGGATTTCGTAATAAGTAATTTTTTTCATGATGGTTTATTGTTTGTAATTTATGCAGTCGTTTTTTAATGCATTTGCTGCACAGCCATAATGAAGCCACGATCATATCTTCATTTTTCTCGCTAATGTCACAACAAGTACTTTGACCACAATAAAGCTACCTCAACTACGTAGTTGAGGAATAATAGATCTCAGGGGAGGGATGTACAAGACAGTGAATTGATTTAAATTCTGTGTAAATTTACGGAAGGAACAAACTCATTTCGCTCAAGCGTGTAAAGTGGAGGAATGTCATGAAGGGAAAGGAAACTGTGAAATCACTTTGCAAGTAAGCCCCCTGAATATATCTGTTGTATACAAATGGGATGATGTAGGTTTTAGCTTTACGTTCTAAAATGTTTGCACGGCATTTGAATATTTTCAGGCATTTTCTCTCCGCTTTTTATCCATTTTTATACTTCGGACGAGCTGGTTTGGTTACTGGATGTTGTGAATTAGAGGGCAAACTGCCAACAAAACCGAAGCAAGGGAGGAAAGGGGAAGGATGTGCAGTTAAGTTCGGACTGATAATCTCAATAAACACATAGTCGAACATTACGAGATTGTCGACGAGTCGAGAACCAAAAATTTTACGAACCAAGCCACCAAGCTGCCATCACAGTGAATACACAGCACAGATAGTTCTGCAACGTGGAATTGGTGTAAGCAACAAAACTGTTAACAAAACATCGCCAAGCAGCAGCCGCACCACACACGGCACGACCATCGAATATTTCCACACTTGGCCTAAAGTCAAGTGCTATGCATATTGTTCAAGTATTAAGTTGGTGGACAATAAATATATTTAGATGCGACACTATAAGTGCATACATGCATATTTATCCCCACACACAGGAACCTACACACACAATTAACGGAAAATACCAGTGGAGAAAAAAAAGAGAAACTATGGCCTGCGAATTTTCTATGCTTTCCCCTGCACAAGTTCTGCACGCTTCCTTTGTCGTGTCACAGAATCCCTTCATGCTGCCGTTTTTTTTGGCTAAATGAAAATTATGCCGAACTGTAGACTTTCCACTGTGACAATTTAATTTCGTGGTTTCTGCAACGGCTGATTTCTACCCTGATGTGCCAAGCGTTCACCGCATAAAGATCAGCGTTCTTGGTTTTGCTCTATTTTGTGGACTTGTTGTTGGCGGTGATGAACTGATCGTTACAAAATGAGGGAGAGAAAGGGGAAATAATAATCATCAAGAAAATAAAGGTTGAAGTTACATGTGTACATATCCCTTTCTCCGGTTGATTCTCAGTACATCAGAAAGTGGTGAAAGCAAACGACATCATTATCCCACAATGATTTGTCAGCGTTTAGTATTCATTTATGATTAATATGCATGTCATTATTCGGTGAAATCGTCCCAAGGTCAAACGTGCCAACTGCAGACGACATCCACGTATTTGCGCTGCTATAGAGAATCTCCAACAGGCCCACTCATCGACGGCTCTAAATATGTGCATACGGCTGGCTCCCAGTCTTCTTGATGTATGAATGAGTTCTATCCAGGCGTGACTGGAACGCCAACTTCATAATGTGACTCTTACATTTCTACATGTATGTCGTTGTGTGTGTATGTGTCGTTGTCGTGAGGAATATTATTGGACCGTTTCGGAACGGCAGTCACAACACAGTGCCTAACTTTTACGGCAAATTAGTCGCCAGGGATGCATGATAATGCCAAAATATTTCAATACCAGGAAATTTTCGGAGCAATGAATTTAGTGTTTTCAGAAATTGTAATAACTAACGAAAAGTGCGTAGATAGTAGCACGCCGTAGACAAGTGAGTAAGAGACAAACGTAAAGATTTGCAGTGAAAAATAGCCAAGTTTGAAATGAGCTTCTTGGAGATAAGTAAAATGACACAGGGGTAAAAAAAGCCTATTGCTACTACTATTTATGTAGGTCTATGTGCACTACTGAAGAGGATTGCTTAGTAGGTCGTGTTGATTAAGTGATGGAATGTGATATTTCCATTTCGACCAATTGTGCAAAGTGCTGGGCGTGAATGGTGAAAGTTCCATGTGGGATTTACTGACAAATCCTCCCAGAATTCAAGTCCAGTCCAGAGGAGCAAGCCAAAGGGTCAATCTCAAAAATCCAGATCGCCAGGCTGTTATGGAGCCCAAAGTGCATTTTATACTAAACCCTTAACTGGGATTTCTTAGTCCCACCACCACCACCGCAGGATTTGAGTCAAGACCTCAAGACGTTCTTGTTCCATAGTTGAAGAATTTTCCTATAACTTTATCACATCCTTCAAATTATGATACTATATACTTACACAGGAGACGAATTATTCTCCTAAAGATATTCGGGAAAGATGATGGTGTAAAATTTTCTTAATGTACTTTTGACAGCTAATCCTAAGTTGCTGACACCAGGAATAAATCTGGCGACAGGAGAATGACGAAATAGGAAGAATAACAGTGACAAAATGAAACGGCTTCACCATTCATAATTTGTCATCAAAGATAGCACAATAAAACTTTATGGAATTGGATCAACAATATTTATCTGTTATTTTAGAGATACATACACAACAATTTCCACGTACAAACAATAATAAGGCTTATCACAACATCTTGTAATTATGCAATTTTCAAGTTTTCTCACCTGGTGATACGCTTGCCATGTCCATGATGACGTACTCACTTCCAACAAAATTGTACTAAAATTAACGTTTCGGCTTTCTTTGTGAGCTTGGTTAAGGGGCGCATTTCGCTTTTGTTGGATAAACTCATAATATTCGTTGCCGAATTAATGATGATAAAATTATGGTCTTTCACTCGGTTACGAGATTTGTCCAAGTCATTTCACACAAATCTTCTTGCTTCGAGTCATGAAATAGTTGATTAGACTTTTAAAATTAGCTCTCTTGATGGTAGAGTAAATATGTAGGTACAATTGTGTCTTTGCTCAGGTATTGTTGAAGTATTTTAAATGAACGTGAACGAGTAAAATTTCGAAGTGGATATATACGGACGGTGTGATGCGACGTGATCAAAATCAGGTAATAAGCTTCCTTTACATCTAAACTTTTTTTGAATAGATTGTTCAGTCACCTCATAAAAATTGTGGAGAAATCTGTGCAATTTCCCGGCTACCCATTTTTTACAATACGGAAAAGTAGATCCGTAGCTAAAAAAATTGTAAGAAATCCGAGTACAAAGTTTCCTCCTTAAACTCATGAGATGTCTGAACACTCCATTGACGCCGGAATTGCATACGAGCTCGATTTATGCGATTGGGAGCTAAAGTGCAGCTTAGCTCACCGATTGACTGATTTGCATTCAGGGATTTCATAAGTTGCACTGAATATCAATTTAGATATTGGTCGCTGAGTCGGTAGCCTTCTTGCTCATTCATGTAATTCAGCCCTGTCACAAACAGTCACACAATGGCACGAAACAGGTAAGGTTTCCACCACGGAATTCAGTCAGGACGACAGTTTTCGATGGAACCACAACAGCACCAAACTTTACTTTTCAGAAAATCCTTCTCATGAAACTGTACTTTGTGACATCATTCATCTGCCAATTATGAAGCCGTTTTATGCATACAAATTGTGCTCTCATCATGGCAACGGATGGAGCCAGCTAAGTTCTCGGTATTTATGTATTATCAATCTCAACCACAAGAGTATAAGATTATAGCACTTTCAAGTCACTTACTTTCACCATTGTGTGTGTCAGACTATGACTTTAACTCGTGTCTCCCTAACAAGTCGCTTTGTTAAAGTCATTCGTTTCTCGGAATTTTATATAATAATACTGTTCGAATCAGGTATTTTTGGTAGCCATTAATTTTTAATTTGAATATTTTGATGCATACAATTCTATATGTAAGATTATGTTTAAATCTGCTATATATCCCTGCTACATATTCAAATCAGACCATACACAATAGAAAAAATGGAAAATGGATAAAAAGTGTTGTTTTTTATGAGTAAGCTCGTTGATTAACAAAACGGAGAAAGGAGTGTGTCAAGAAATCTCGCATGTTCATCACGCGGACGAAAGTTGGTGATCTTTGACACGAAATTGTATTTTCGCAACTTGGTTTTATTTCTCGATTATGTCTTCCATCCCACTCGAATGATACTTTGTATAGAATAAACTAGGAACTCGTTATTCTCCATCAATGGGGAAGAGAAAAGCTCGCTCGTCGAAAAAACTGCTTTTCGCATGTATAGCAACCCACGAACGAGTATGTGCGGCAGTCAGGAATCGGGAGATAAGGAAAAAGTAAAAGAATTTGTCTTTATTTTCCGTTATTTAATACGCAACCAAGTCGTCGGTCGGCACAGTGCTGCTCGTGTTGGAAGTTATTTTATTTTATGAGAGCACTCTCGAACTTCAAGAAGACATCGTGTTGCTCCCACTCTCGTATGCAATACCATATCGGCCACCTCGTCACTAATTCACCAGTCACCAATGTAAAAACAATTGATTTCGTTTCTCACACACTGGACAAACATCAAGTGGCACTGTAAAGTATAGAAATTCGATAAATATTTTTACATTTTGTACGTGACGACTTTTCAAAGCTGTATTATTCGTGTCTCTCCCGTTAGCAGAGAGTCAGTGGAAAAAGGAAATCTATATGTCGCCTACGGAAAAAAATGAATCAACACGATATTTGCCGTAACTAACCTATTGTTTTGCAAAGCACCACCATGTGCAGCCACATATCATGCTTAGATTCCGTACAATTTTTAGGTACGCTGCTTTGTCTGAGGAGGCAAAGTTAGTGGTAATAGGTGCTGTTCAAGATTTTAGCAAAGATTTCAAGATTTGGCATGGAGCTTGAAGCTTGGCAATAATATACGGTTATTTTATTACGAGAGCAAAGGCTCAGTTTTGCTTCAAATCGGTTTTGGTAAAATACGGACATTGTGATTACTCTAATATTCTTGTTCTCGTGTGGGTAGCGCATACACAGATTTTGAGCAAATTTACTCAGACTGCTGGAACGCACTATCTTCTGAGATCATATTGTGCAAGGGCAAATATGGCGTGTGTGTGTGGGGCTAGATACGGGCCAGCAGCGCGTCTTTATCATTAGGCCTCGTATACAAATTCAGGATTGGGATGCTTTTAAGTCGGAGGAAATATTTGTGCCGCCGGAGTAAGTGAATGTGTCCCGAGGAGGAAGTGAGTGGACGCAAAGTTGTGCTGAGACCAAGATTTATGATAAAAGTTGCGCTTTGATGGGATGCATTCAGATGGACTCTACGACTCCTTCTTCCTTTCTTCCACTTTCGCCCAACCAACCAGCCCACCAGCCAAGCAAGGAGAAGAACAAGAGGAAGAAGCCCTGTTTCGTTCCTCAACATGTAATATCCTCCTCTCCTCATCCTTGTTCTTATTTTGCCTCCACTGCGCCCAACATGGAAAGTGATACAAAATCCTACCACACCTCCTGTGTGACATGCTGCTTTCACCATCACCAATTGGGGCTTAAATAGCTTTTGCAAATTCGTGTCCTTGTTTTAGCAACTCTCAAGTGAACTTGTGTTTGTTTAAGAAAAGATTCTCCACTTAATTGGCTACCTTCCTTCGTTTTCCTCATTCCTTCCTGTTCCAACCACCTTGGCATACTCATCCAACAAATTCTCGGCTAATTTCTTCATTATGAAAGAACATTCGCACTCTCTGTAAGATATTTATTTCCCTCAAATGAACAACCCCGGTTTCACCAGCCTGAGAAATTTTCACTTTTGGCAATTACATTGAAATGAATGCAGGGCACAGAGTTTATTACGTGACATTGGCAAATGCACAAAGTGGAATAAGATGGCTGTCATTGTTGTTGCCTTTTAGGCGACGACTACAACAACAGTATCTCCATCATGATGACATAACATTGTGCTGCAACAACCAACAATACATCACATTGAGAAAAAACTGAACCGGGTCACGGACCGTGACCCAAAATGACAATGTGATGATGATGCTCAACTTTCTCTCGTCTCACGACTTGGTGTTCAGCCCTGCTTTCTCTGCCCATCGTCCCACCACCACCATCAGCAAAACTTTCTCCCCTATTTCTGACTGTCTTCCTTCCACTCAAGTTATTGTGCCACTCCGGTTTATCTCTCTTGCCGTTTGTGATGATGGCAGTGATCAGAATTGCTGAACTACTCAACTGTACTCTTCCTCCTCCTACTCCGATGTGTGTGTGTATGTCCCTTTAGCTCGGCATTATTATTCCTCTACAAAACAAAGCAGCAGGGTTGCGAAACAAGTGAGTTTCGGCATGAACTTTTTGCCAAGAAAATAACGAAATCAACACTCACAAAAAGTTTGATCCCTCACTTGCCTCATTTTCTCAAGGTGACGGGACGGCACACAATTAAAAAATATTCATGCCCGTCAACCATTTATACTTTATCATGTTTTTGTTTTCTTCATCATTATACTTTGGGTGAGTTTCTTTGATGAAAAGTAAAACTACACTGCGTAGGAAATCATGTAACTCGAACTGTAAACAAATGTACACATAATTGCACATAATTGTGTAAATTATGCATATATGCAGACACAGTTTCTCAACAATTACTGTCACCAAAACGTGGCTGTAATTCGTTACGCATGGGGTAACAAAAGTATGAAAATGCCGAATGCATACAAGATCAAGAGGAACAATTTAAAAAGTTAAATGAACTGATTCTGGGGAGCGGATTTTTCTAGCTTCTTTAATTTTTCGGAGGTATGCGCGTACGTACAAATGCTTCTATACAGAGAAAGAGAGAGAAGAGATAGCATCATTCACCATGCAGCAAGTTAGTTAGTTTACACGATCTATTTCAGAAAATGATCAAAGTGTCGTCGCAGCGGAAGAGCAAACGCTCCTCATTACTGACTCAACTTTGATGATTGTATCATTAAATAAATAAATGTTTTTTATCTATCTGCATCGCTCACAACAGGGCGATCTATTATTCCCGAATCACCCACCTTTTACCAGTGAGGAAGAAGACAGCAGTTGTTTTTCACAGGCAGTTAGTAACTTCCCCCATCAGTCACTTACATGGTCTTTAGGCTCGAGAGTGGAGCTAAGATATTTGTAATCCCAGCCTTCCCATTTCATTACCGCATTTTTACTCGCTTTATGCATGTGAGGTCTATTTTATACCAGGTCTAAGTGAATACGGGGGGAATGAATGACGTGATTTGCGAAACCCTCCCATGGTCAGTCACGTTATCGTGCAGGCAGGAAATAAACGTCTCTCTTTCTCTGCTTAGTCGTAAGTAAGTACGTCTCTCGCAACTTTTTGTATTTTCATTTGGCAAGTTAGCATCTATTTAGTAGGTTGCTTGCTGCCTTGGTTGGGTGAATTTGATCGCAAAGAAGAAGGTTTTGTAAAATAATTTAGATTCAGAATCCAAACATTCTAGTCCTCGTCGTCCCGTCTCATCACGCTGATTAGTAATCAAGACGTCTTTCACTCCGACTTTAGTACAACTCAGTCAACTCACGTTTACTTTGGGGGAAGTTGCACAGTTTATAAATGCAATGTTTGAAGAATGGCGATGTGTCAACTGTAAAATGGGGAAATAGGACATGGGAAATAATACGAGGGTGGCTTATCAAAAAGCAGATTTTCTTGGCCTTTTTAATGTATTTCACTTCTTTACAAAGAATAAAGGAATTTTTTTGAGAAACGTATGTTCGTATTTTACCCCAATATGTAACACGTCTTGAAATATTTATGTATTATTGCCAACTATTAATGCTCCAATAATCCAAAATACTTGAAACAATACGTAGAAAACGCAGATATGGATGCATGTATTTTATTACCTCTTAGATTAAATGTCAGAATTTTGTCATGCTATAGTCAAAGTAAGTCTCAACTTGGACTCATTCTTGAAATACACCAGCTTACTTAATTTTCCTCATACCTGACTTACTGATGCAAAGAATTGGCATAATACAGGCTAATCACAGTTCACAATTAGAAATCATATCACAAATAACGAACGCTTATCCTCCCTTAAGAAGAAAGAGGCGGAGGAGACTCGAGTCTCGATTTTTGTCGTGTTCGAAATACAAGAAAGTCTCAATCACATGAGAACACGGATGAGTAGTTGAGTTGTTATTAATCAAAATTGTCACGGGCGCAAAACAATGGAACCTAGGTCACGCTCTGTCCCAAGTGTGTGTTTGTGTGTGCGGAGGAAAACGTCGGGGAAAGTGTGGAAGTGGTGGAACGGATGAGTAAGATGTTATCTTCCGCACGGCCTAGACCAGACTAAAACCACTATGAAACCAAACCAAAAACACAGTCCGGAATTCGGAACTTTCTTCTTACTCCTTCAGCAGCCGTTTAGTTTCGTCCGTGTGACTCTGCGAGAGTGGAGTATGACGACGACGACGACGACGACGCTCCGTTATTCCTTTGCTCCACGTTGGTCCGTCCGTCGGTTGAGGTTGAGTTGCTGGATGGATGAACCAAAAATCCTGCACACGGCGGATACCCGGGTTTCTTCTCTCTCTCTCAGCATAAATACCACTCATCGCGACGCTCTGTAAACTAAACAGCACTTTATCTCTCGTCTAGCATTGCTTAACGCGGACTTAAACCAGACCACCGACACAACACCTTCAACTCGCTCAGCCACCGACAATTTTCAATTTCCAGGCTGGACGTATGCGGGAAGAATTTCTGTCCAGCTCTAAAAATGGATGAGTGTCAAACTTATTCACTCTGTGATGGGATTATATATGAGAACATGCAGAATTTTAGATTTATTGGTTTCCCAAAGTTTGGATTTTATAGGCTCAGTGGAATAAATCTCAGTTTCCTCTTCGGGCCAATTGTTACGTTACGTTACGTAATTCGTGTTTGTCAGTAAATAAAGAAGGAATAATTGATAATTTAAATCTCGATAATTTAAATCTCGACCCAATTTTAGAGTCCGTTAAGAGAAGTATATTTCATATGTACAGTTGTGTTCCCTCCCGAAGTGACATATTTAATAGTTGAGAGTCATTATCTTAAGTAGGTAACGATAGAAGAAGATCGTGGTATGCAAATCTTTTCACTTTCATTCAATTAATTGCAATCCTAAGTAAATCAACAAACTCTTAATACACATCACAAATAAATTAAAGTCTGCAATCTGGTGAAAATTGAAGACAGACAAGCCATCCATCCGTCCGTCTCCTCGTCTTTGTCAACAAGTAGGAGAATTTAATAGCACCCAAACGGAGGAATATTCTCAGACAGGCAAAAGACCAGACCAATAGACAACAACCAACGAACCGCAGCAGCTCAGTCGGGAACATGAATTGAATTGGAGGATGGGAGAAGAAAGCTCACTACTTCCCTCCATTCTCTTAATAATCAGTTCGTACTTTCTTCAACAAGACTAAAATATACTTGTGCCGCATCCAGACTTTTACATAACCACATCCCACGGTGTTTAATTTGCTTCATATTAAGTATTAGGCAACATTGCAAATTAAAGCACAAATGAGCATCAAATGTTGGATGGATTTGAAAGCGGGTCTACCAAAGTAAATCATAAGCTTGATGTCATTCCCAACTCCCATCGTCACTGCGGATATAGAATAGGATTCTGCATACAACGAGGAATAAGCTCGAGGAAAAAGATGTAATAAAGTAACGGAAGGGAGGTGATGAAAATTTAATATGCGACAACATGATCATATGGATTCATTCATTTGGTAATAAAGTCATCATTTTTGGAACCAAACAAGCAAATTTAACATTTTCGTCACCAGGTCAAGATATTTCAAAATTTTATCAATTTGACCTTTTACACGACTTTGTCAGTCAATGTAATATGATCCAGCGCCATGACCTTATGTCCTATTCGGCTAACGAACTTATCCTTACGTTTAGATATCATTATCCAAATATCCCAAACGGTCGAAAAAACAGACAGACAAATTGATCACATTAATAGCTTCAGCACCCTCCACCACTTAACAACGATGCTCAACTTGCCGGTCCGATCCTCCACTTGAAATGACTGCAGGCTAAGCCCCAGGCTGTCATTTGGGATGGAGATTAGTTTTCCATCTTTTCTTTTTAACAAGCGACGTTTCTCTTCCACGTCACAATCTTCAACGTGGAGAAAGTCGTATCCTGTTTTCACCACATCAAACCAAACCCTGCTCACTCAGTCCATTCTTTTAACTCACCAGCCCCACTCCTCGTGTAGCATGGGGCATCGAATAGCTGCATAAATGTCTACGCCACCGAGAGGAGAGAAAATCGGTGGGAATAAGGAATAGGAAGGAAGGAAGCAACAGGTTGCCAAGGTCTGACATACAAACGTACGTCCAATGTGTACCTGCATGTCGAGAGGACGAGTCTTGCCTTAAACGGTAGATTTTTCTCAAAGGAGTGAAGCCAAGGCAGTAATCATCATCTCATCATATCGTTAAAGAGTCG